CGACTTGTTGTTGGAGCTCGCGCTTCCTGCCGAACTGACTGACACTTGACTGGCTCACGCCATGTGAACACACCCACAACACTGCAATGGTGTGAGTGAATTATAATGGAAGTCATCGCGCTGTAGCGTTTTGAGATATATTTTAGTATTTCAAGATCGCCAATTTATTTGAATTTAGCAGTCAACGCCGTCTTCTATCAGCGTTCACAAGCGTCTGCTTTTCTCAAAATGTCGTCGAAGTCACACGGATAGCTTTGCCAAGTCATGGCCTTGGGAATGAGTCCGTGTCGATGTCGTTTTCGTCACACGGTGAGTAAATTGCATCGCAGCTCAAAGAAACTATTTTGGTCACAAAACGGACCCATGCAGCTCGTCAACATTTACAACACTTTCGTTTCGACATGTCCTCTCTGACTCCATTGTCGATACGAGGAAGAACTCGTTTGTTGTAAACCAGACGTACATGACTGTGTCAACGTGAGTGAGTTGTCATTTTTCCTGCTTTCGCGCGGAATATTTCTTCGAGTTCACAGTGAGTTTTTCCAGGCAGCGCTCGAGTGCTCATACGGTAAGACGCCAAACTCCGCGGGCGATCGCCAGGATTGTAAATCTTTTTGAAACGGACTGTAGTGTTCATTCATTCATTCATTGTTCATTATTATTAGTCGATGGAAGTCAATATACTGTTGAGAATAAAATAGTTGTCCTCGTGCCGTGTGGGGTCGTTCGTTCCTGACACTTTAGAGAACCAGAGGGTTCACAACATTTGGCGACCACGCCAGGATACGAAGCGAGCATGGCACAGGAACTATGGATCATTGAAGCCAGCTTTATCGCTAGCGGAATTCGGTATGGATTTGAAGGCGATAGGTTGAGAGAATACGTGGAGAAGAGGCTCCGACAGAGCGAGGAGTTGGAAGAGCGCAGTGCTAGACGGCAAGAGGGTGCGCTCCGCACAGAGTTTGACGAAAAGCTCAAGAAGATGAACGAGCGCATTGCAAGCAGTAAATATGAGGGAGCAAAGCGAGATTTGCTTGCCACACGTGAAAGGACGCCGGACAAGGCGTGGAAGACTTTGCTTACAGACAAGCAGCGGTCAGAGGAGTATTCGAAGCCAGTGGGAGGATCGGATCCAAGGCCCACTGGGTCGGTGCAGTGCATGGCGACATCGGTCGGAGACGCTCAGAAGCAGCTGGAGTCTCGGCCGAACGACGTAGAAGCGCAAGACGTAGAAGCGCAAGACGTAGAGGCGCAAGACGTAGAAGCGCAAAACGTAGAGGCGCAAGACGTAGAGGCGCATGACGTAGAGGCGCAAGACGTAGAGGCGCAAGACGTAGAGGCGCAAGACGTAGAGGCGCAAGACGTAGAGGTGCAAGACGTAGAGGCGCAAGACGTACAGGCGCAAGACGTACAGGCGCAAGACGTAGAAGCGCAAGACGTAGAAGCTAAGGAAATGAGAAGGGCGATACTGGTGAGCACGGAAGAAGCGCAAGACGTAGAAGCGCAAGGCGTAGAAGCTAAGGAAATGAGAAGGGCGATACTGGTGAGCACGGAAGAAGTTAGCATGGAAAAAGTGAGCGGCGAGACTGTGTGGAACATGGAGATTAGATGTATGTTATCTGGTCCAGCGTCCGCCCCACGAGGCAGTGGCCCAGTGGCAGTGACCGTGTCATGTGTGACAGCCAAGATCTGCAAGCTTATCGGTTGTGTGTTGTCTGGTCCATTGTCCGCCCCATGTCGAAGTGGATCGGTGACAGTGTCGTGTGCGACAGTCCCCAGCGGCAAGCTTCGCGAATTTGATTTGGCCGAAGTGGTGGGCATTAGTGATATTCTACCATGGCCACCACCGCAGCAGCAGATAACGTGTAGTAAGCCCCAAATCGTTTGACTTGTGAGTTGTTGTACGGCGGTGAGAAGCCCTTTGGTGCGGAGAATTTTGTGAAACCACAAGTTCTCGAGAGTGAAAGGCCTTCTCGCTTGTGACATTGTGTTCGTTTCAATGGCAATGCAGTTCAACTTGTATCCCGACTCCGCCGTACCGCTGATTGTTACGACGTGGTATACGCTACAGGCGCTATGGGCGGTTTGCTTTGTGCGCTGTAGTTGTATGTTGTATGTGTATGCTTTCTCATATACGCTGTCATTTTCACGCTATAACTACCTGGTGGTTTTAGTGTTCATTCATTCATTCATTGTTCATTATTATTAGTCGATGGAAGTCAATATACTGTTGAGAATAAAATAGTTGTCCTCGTGCCGTGTGGGGTCGTTCGTTCCTGATACTTAAGGTGGCAGACTACCCAAAAATTCGCTGAAAAATCGAATTTGTAAATTCATATTGAGTGCTAAGTCAGTTGAAAGAGCATGAATAGCTGCAAATTCTCTGAAAATTGTGTCCCGATCTGACCGGCCGTTCAAGAGTTATGGCCGAAAATGTGCCCGTGCAAGGAAAGATTTTTTTGTTGCACGCTGTCATTTGTTGGCAGCACTGTATTTGAATGTGAGCAGACCGTGCGCAACTTGTCGTATCATGGAAACACGTGAAAGTGTGCAGAATTTTGCTCCAAGTCCAAAAAATCAGGTTTTTGAGCCACGTATTGGGCTGCACGGCGGCGGGCGAAGCCCGCCGCCGTGCAGCAGGACTTTTGCCAGCACCCTCGTGACGTTGCAGATACAGTTGTATGTGGCTTGATTATTGTAGTTGACGTTGATTTAGTGACTTTGGCAAGTTTGAGTCGTATCAAGAAGTCAGGTAGGATTCAGTACTAGGCAGTAGTGAAACGTGAGTGGTAGTCTTTGCCGGTTTCTGAGGGTATCCTGGATTTGGTGTGCAGCGCTGTGGAAATGGCTTGCTGTGGAGGTCCCAGCACTGGATGTTGTATCAAAGGTACGACCTCGTAGCACGTGCTAAACCTAAAAAAAATCAAAAATTGACTTGGGTCTGTGGGAGTGTGTGAGAGAACGCCCACTCGTTCCGTTGTGACAGATTCCAGGGCCTCATTGAGGGGCCCTACCCCATCACCCATGGCTGCTTCTGGACTTGTTCTAGGTTTGAGTCCCGCGCACGAACAGAATGAGCACGAAAATGTGAAAAAATTGTAAATGCATTTGTTTGGCTCCTGGGTGGCTCGCACACCGTGGCACTATGCCGGAAATTTGAGTTTTTCCGGCCTGGAAAGCCTGTCAGTGAGGCGCAAGAACTATTTTGGAACGCAGTTTCATGATAATATTGTATTTTCTCCCTTGTATTATGCCGGTGACCCCCCCCCCCCGTGTACCCTTATATTTTTCTAATTGTCCGCAAATGCCACCGCAGCCACTTGCACATTTAGGAATCTTCACTTCTCAACTCTAAATTTTAAAAACGACCTCTTCCCTGCGACTCAATTTTAAATTTACATTACACCAAATTTTCGGGTCTGGCACATCATCAGGGTTACAAATACCCTTACCGTAAATTCTCTATTATAAGCACAGGTCTCCATTACTCCAGGCAGGCACAGTGGGTTGGTCAAAGACCATGATTGAGATACGAGAGGTACCTGGTTCAAGTCCTGCCTGGAAGCGGTTTTTCCAGCCGTGCTGCTACCCACAGTCAACTGGGAACTTGTGGCCAGGCACAAGGGGTACATGGATGCAGCTAATGGGGTCGTTTTCGGCACTTGTACCAGTGGTTGTGAGACTTACCCACTCACCCCCACCGTTAGGCGCTGCATCTGCCGCTAGGGTTTATCGGGTGCTAGCGGCCGTCGTGAGTTCCCTTCGGGAACGGATACGATAATTTATTATTATTATTATTTCTCCATTACTAGCACAGTCTCTAATACTAGCACACTGTGAGCACCTTTCGAAACATTATAAGCACAGTCTCTATTATTAGCACAGTCTTGGTGGAAATCAATGCTGCATGCATGATATCTAGCATGTATTTCTTCTTGCTCTGTATGGATATATTGGTTGAAAAAATATAACCACGGTCTCCAGCATAAGCACGGGGTAGACGGGTGTTGAAAAATATAAGCACGGCGCTTATAATAGAGAATATACGGTATATTAAATTTTGGTAGTTTTGTGGTTTGTGTGCAGAGAGAATGTGTGTGGTATGATAGAACATGTTCCTCTGGTATTTTACTCTACGGCACTTAGTACTACATGTACAAGAAGAAAACATGTATAAGAAGTAAATGAAATTTTGGGCTCTTATTGTGAGCTTCATTCTTATTCATAGCTTCTGCAGCTATTTAGGGGCTTCGAGAGCCACTTTTCGATACTTATGATTATTGAGTTCCATCTTGGGGTGATATAGTGTTTCGCCAGCAGAGGACAATGGAACATCGTACAGATGAAAGAGTACGGGAGTCAAAATCGTACATACTTCTGAAATGCGTAGCGCTTAGCTGTACACCGACATTTTCTGCAGAGTTCATTTTTCTGTTCAACTTCACACCTGATTTCGGATCACACCAGATGAGACATGCACCGGCCTCAGCGGATCAGGGTGATATTGCAATTACTGAGTTGTGATAAACTTGGGATAGTGCAAGCTGAGACAGTTTGTGGTTTGACATGACTTGTCAAGTTGAAGATTGAATGTACTGTGTAATGAAGTTTGAATAGTGCGAAGTGACATAGTGGCTGAAAAATTATTTAAACGAATCACCTCGACGCTGGGTGAATATGCATGAAGCAAAACTTACACTCTTTTGCTGTGCACATAGAAGCGACGAAGCTCTTTGAGTAGGTTTATTTATTTGTGGTTTTCACCACCTTCTTAGCTATTAACATTCGAAGTATTTATAATTTTTTGAAAGGATTGGGAGAAATTCAAATTCAAAGGTCCAATCGAAAAAGAGAAAAAACTCCAGACCCGACTATATATCCATTCACCTTCATATTATTTGGGCCTAGTTCCCGTTTATTGCGCGAATTAAAATACACCAACCAACTTACCATTAGCACCCGGCCGAAGGTAGAAAATGAGCACCCAATAGGCTAGTATTCAGCAGCCTTCCCAGAATATCGTAACTCTTACGCCGATTATTTTATACAGCATTATTTAAATTTTTATCTCCACGCAGATTATTTGTATACATTGTACCTTTTTCATGTTTTATTTCTTACTAAGTACACAACCTAGTACAGATTCTAGTCGTCAGAAGGGGTGAAGACAACAGAATATACCATAACAAAACAGCAGGGAGAGTAGAGACTGGAAAGCAAGCCTGTGCTTGGGCGACTTAGTCTATTATTTGAGCCAGATATAATACCAACATTCGTATTACTAAAACGTACATGTTAATAATACATGCTAATAATGATAATAATGACAAGGCAACACACAAAAGAATGCTAATTTGGTCATAAAGGGAACAAACAAATCGTGACTCTGAAAACCATAACTTTCGTTACAAGTGGATAACTTGCGTTGTGTTTATTGTTCCATCAGCTGGTCAGGACGTACAGCTTCTGCAGTTCTGATCAAAGCTTGAATTCTTTCTTTCAATTGCTTCTTGTTATCTTCAAAAACCTTTACAATTGCACCACTGTGAAACATTCGCACCATTAGAATGGGCTTCTTATTTGGATGTACAGTCACGTGATGTTCATTCTTCAACACTCCCTCCCAAGAATAGTGATCAATGTCATACTTACCATGCGCGTGCGGACGGCGGTTCACGTGTACGATATCTGCTGTCGCGAAGTCACAGATAGGAGAAAGCGAGGAGTGAGATTTAGGAGAGGATGCAAGAACAATGTTCATTTCCTGGCTAGTCTCTGCACATTCCCACGAAAATCCTATGTCAATCTTACTGGATGGACATTTGAAGATGATGAATCCTACTGAAAAGTCTCGGTCTTGAATTGGCATCATCGCTCGTGCTGTAGCGACTTCATTCTCTACTTGGCGTAGTTTGATGCAGGGGGGCGCCTGTGAAAGATAAGGTAACCAAGTACTTGAATACGATAATGCTATGCCCTGGGTGGGTGACACTTGAGACGAGTGGAAGAAGCTGGCCTGGGATTTGTACACTAAAAGCCAAGTTTTTAAAGGAAAATACTTGGCTACATCCGAGACCGTTGATTGCTTTTGAAGTTCTGGTAAGGGACAGGGAGTATCCAGCAACAGCTCTAGCAGATAGGTTGCAGGTTCTCGGCAGTCATACTGGAATAGAGCATGCACATGGCCCTTGCTATAACCTAATACAGGCACTAGCTCTGGAGCCGTGCTAGAACATCCACAACAAAGTTCAGTTGCCCAGATTTGAAAGCTGGAGACTTTCAATGCGAGAGCAGACACAAGTTGGCCTCGCCCATTTCTCACTTTTGCACCAAAACCTAGTTCATCCCCTACAAATGCAAGATAGGGGCTATCTTCAGCGAAGGCACACATCGATAAATCAATATCAGTGTTATCCACAACATTACCCATTTCACCAAAGCCGGCTTCCAGATTCTGGCACGCGAATACTACCCTTCGCATTAGCTCACTTCGTTTGGCGTCCATATCACGCGACGCCGCTGTAAGATGATTTATCGATCTTGGATACATTTTAAGGAGGTCTTCATTTCGTATAGCATATCTCAGTCCGTCTTGTATATGCTGGAATGCGCGTTCAGCACTGTTCGACTTCCGGTAATATTCTTCTTGTTCTGCTAGCTCCTTTTTCCGAGTCTTCGCCTCGCTTTCCAGTTCCTTCTTTCGTTTCTTCACCTTTAGAAGTTGCTCCTCACACTTTTCGCTGATCTGTGTCTTGATATTGGACACTTGACTGGCAACGTCACTCTCAAATGCTTCCAGGAGATCACCAGCATATTGCAGGCTTTCCTCCGCTTCCTGGTCTTTGTCATCAGGGACGATGTTGCGCAGGCGCTTCATAAGTCTGTGTCTTAACGCTGCGGCTACGTCTGTGGCATCCTTGATCTGATCGATATGGGACTCGTGCTTGACGTCGACCCTGCAGCATTCGCACAAAACCTCCCGACAGAGAGTACAGTAGTATCGCATCTCCATCTTGCCATGGCAAGGACAAAAGTAAACTCGTCCGTGATGAGGTGTCTGATTATCGGCTCTCGCAACGGTTGAACGGTCGACGTCCGCGCTCCTTGATTCTGGTTGAACTTCGGGAGAGTTCATACGGTCATCAAGGACGATTTGAAGGTCATGATCTTTCGCGTCCGACTGCTTCGTTCCGGTACTTTTATTTGGCACACTGTCAAACATGGAGTCATCAACTAACAGCTGTTCGTGACGGCGACCAGGAGGTGGACATGGCGTAGTACGTCGACACTTGGCACAGCGTATTCTCCCATCTTTTTCAACGCTGCCTGGAAGACAGTCAAAGCAGATCTTGTGAAGACACTTCAGAAGTTTTCCCGCTTTCCCTCCTCCATCTGCGCAGAATACACATGTTGGCCTCATCGTACACAATGAACAAAGCCGAATATGTCAAAAAGGCTGAGCTACTGTTCAACTGTACCGCACGGGCAATATACGAAGCAAATGTGAACTTCACCACTGAACGTGTTCTTATACTTAATTTGTAAAAGTTGACGGCTTCCCACGGCGTCAAAATTCCGGTGCGATATACATATAATTATGTAATTTGGGATAGGTTTAGCAGAGCGAAACTTCATAAGGGTTTTAGCGTCTGGGCGTGAGAAAATTCGGAAGAAAGCTAGTGAGATATTTGTGTTTTCTATGGCTGTTCTCGAGTGAAGTATCTGTACATGAACGATTTTTTTACTTAGTTGTCTTGATGAGATCCAAAATTAATGACTTATGTTTGTGGAAAATGGCAATATTTTGAAGCGAATGCTCTATGACTGCGCTGACTATCCCTGGGTATGGCAGAACTCAGCAGTCCAGAGATTGTAGGCGGAACCGGCGATAAAGCGACAGGGGCTTCAACATCGGACCACTGGTACTACATGTAGCAGACCAAACACAGTGTAAATGTACTGGATTGTGCAAGGCCAAGCACCAGCCATTGCATGCATGTGCGAAGATTCCCGCGAAATTTCAATTTTCCTTCCGTCAAGTTATTTAGCAAAATAATATAGATCCTACTTTTTTGCTGACCGGTAAGCTTGTGTAATTGCTGCAATGCCGGTCGCGGTCGCATTATGAACGTTCGTGCGAAATTTCGCCTTTCGTGTTGTGACTAGGGTCCAGCGGATAATGCTCCGAAAATGTTCGTATAATGCTGATCATAAGGCTTCAAAAACTACCTGACAATGCTGATTCTAATGCTTCAACAAGGGCTATAATGCTCTAGGTTTGGGTCAGAAAGGAATAAAGGCTGCACATATTCAATCTGCCGCTGAATCCGGCGCTATTCTTTCCGCACGCTCCAAACCCTTGTAGCACTTTAAGACATAATCGATTCGCCAGTGGCTGCTCTCCATTGCAGCTTTGACGGAGGGCTATGGCTTGGCTATGGCTGGGCTATGGCTGGGCTCTGGCTGGGCTATGGCTGGGCTATGGCTGGGCTATGGCTGGGCTATGGCTGGGCTATGGCTGGGCTATGGCTGGGCTATGGCTGGGCTATGGCTGGGCTATGGCTGGGCTATGGCTGAATAGTGTATATCATAATTATACTATCTCGGCATTATCCAGGGAGTGACAGGTGTAAACTATGTTAGGGATCATTGGGATGAGGTTTATCATGGCACCTGGTAGTCCTGCCTGCAGACAAGCTGTGACTGCATTGGTTCTGTGAATAATCTTTTCATCTGAAACAGCAGATATTAGGCTGATCTAGGATCCAGATCCCTTCCATTTGCGGTGCGCGTCAAAGAGATGTGGCCAGATTATTTTGCTGCTCTACTGCTTTTACTTTTATAGTCTTCTTCTCGTTGTGGTGTTGCATGGACACCTGGGTGGCAACATTGACAAGAATACTCTTCTTTGTTGATAGCCCTTGACTCAGTCACTGCTGTCGTGCATGGGAGTATAGCTGTCCACATCAAGTGTACGTGTTTCATTAGGACACTCAGACACACGCTGCTGCAGAGCACTCATAGCGACTTGATGCTACATATACGTCCATAACTCAAGTAATTCCAGTTCTGCTCTAGCGAGTTCGGCTGAACACTGCAGAAGCAGATCGTCGGGAAAACATGCATCTCTTTCTGCTTGTAGCTGCTCTTTCAGCCTGTTTCAAATTTATCAAAGGTTCGCCGTCTACTTCAGTATTGCTACTAGCCTTTGTGACGCTGTCTTCAGAGCCTGAGCCTGACACTTCTGCTTTTCTCTTCATTTTTCTTCCCGTCTCTTACCAATTTTCCCATCCCATGTATTTCGTCACTCAAGGTAACCCCTCCACAGGCGAACAGCCTTTGGAGAATTCTTTAAAACGTATAAATACAATACCAAAATGCTGAAATGTGTACCTAAGGTTTCGCCTTCCTATGATAGACATTCTCATAAGGGACGCGTTATCACTTCAAAAAACTGTAGAGAAGTTGTTATTCGATATGTTGCACTATACTCGACGTCGTAAAAGATCTTCAGCGGTATACTTATATTCATATTTTGTGACTTTTATTTGTGATAGCCGATATGTAAGAAGAACCGCTCAGCACCTGAACGCACGCGTCAAACAACCTCCTCGCTATCATAATATATTATTATTGGGCAGTGATCCCGTTTGACTTTGAGGTGGAAACGGGGGAGACATAAAAATACTAAAAAAATTAATATTTAGTACAGTTATTGAAAGGATTGGGACTCTGGGAGAACTTCAAATTCAAAGGATCAGTCGGGGATCCCATACTAGCCGTAACTCAGTGGTTAGAGCATTGCTCATGTCAAGCAAGGTCCCGGGTTCGAGTCCTGGTGGGTCTGGCGTTTTTCCTCTTTTCAGGCAGTTCACTTCCCCGGTTGTGCTGCGCTGATGAGTAGGGTCCACAAAGCCCAAAGGACGACACAGTTCTGTCCACGCGGTATGTCTACAGCCTACAACTTTGTAGCCTGTAGGCTGTACAGGGCTAGGGTAGGCACGGACTTCACGCGCACACGCGAGGCGTGAACAAGACATGGAACGAAACGTGCACGGACAGCGAACAAACGAAGACCTCGGCGCGGGGTAACCCTGGTAATTATTTTGCAGGCGCAAATTTGAGCTGCGAAACTAATACTTCGCCAAGTCACGTAGAGTGACAGTGAGTTGGCCTGACTCGCTAGAATCTTACTTGCAAGACTAGAAGACTGTAAGACTGCTCCTGTTTTGTCGGTAGTTGCGCCTGGTGCAGTGGTGGATCGTTGGTTTCAGATGTATGTGCGTGTAGCTGAGTAAGAAACGAAAAAGGCCTTTTCAGAGAAACCTTTTCAAAGAGGACTTTTGTTTTTCCGATTTTTACTATGCCGTCTCACGTCTGCGTTCTGTGGCAAAGGAGATATTGCGGCCTCTAGCTCTGTGGTTAGACTTGAAATTTCAACACTCTTGAAGCAGAAATACAACAGTCCGTGTTGGATTTTGGTTGAGTCACAAGATTTTAGTGCGGGTTGACCCAGGTGCTTCCGGTGACGAACTGCTGTGGAGACAAGACGACGGCAACGCGACAGAGCACGGTAGGTTATAATTTTTGATGGCCGAGAACTTCTAAAATATTATTGTAGATGACAGAGAGTATTTTGGAGGTTTGAACACCGTAAGAAAACACTTATTTTCCGTTCGGCCTTCTCCATTTTTTACCCAAATCCTTGAACTGTGTTTGGTCTGCGTTTATGTACGGAAGGTGTATGCCTTTGCCTGCAAATACTCTGTCCCCGGGGAAATTTGCGGAAAAAATCGCAAAAAACGCGGCATCATATGGCATAATTTGCGGTGAATTTGCGGTAAATATGCGGTGAATATTATTGATATCATCTCGCAGCGGCAAGTTTGCAGTTGATATGAGGCAATTTTCAGTGAGTATGTAGTGAAATCAATCAGTTACAAGTCTCTGGTGTAAGCGCTCGTCATATTTGAGTACAAAGCCGCCACCGGATGAGACGTTGCTGACCGAACAGTGCACTGTGTGTACGTGTTGTGCAACAGAAAAGTCCAAAAAAACGCGGGGAAAACGCGGTCTTTTAAAAAATTGCAAAAAAAGGCGGAAAAAAACGCAGCCAGGGAATCGCAATTTTCCCCGGGGACAGAGTACTGGAACATTAGTCCATTCAGAGAAGGTTGAGCGCTGGCTCTGGAGAGCTCCCGTGTTTGGTGATTTTGTGGTACACTGTGCAGTGGTGCGCGATTCGAAACTTGAAAAAGGGTCCAAAAAGGCACCTCAACTGGGGTTCGAACCGCAAATGTACTGTTATGCAAGTGGAGTGAACGGCCTGGATTTTCATGGTTTTTACCCAATTCAGTGCTTTGGGGGCAAAACCTGGCCGAAATCCTATTCTTGTTTTGGCTTGCTTTTTGGAGAAATAGACTTCAAAAACACAATTGGAAGAGCATTCCATGGGGGATTGCCAAAAAAAGGAGACGAAAACTCAAAATTTGACCCGTTTATGGCCAAAAGCTAGGATATCAACCTTTTCTGAATGGACTGTAGTACAGTAGTAGCTTGCGAAAGCGCTCATTGGCATCGTTTATGCAATGGTGCAGTGTTATGCACTGGTGCTGTGTGCATGCATCTGGCAATTCTCCTCTCTCAGTAGCTGTCAGGATTCCACAGTCTGGTTGAGAACAGTAAGTCAACTGTGACGTTGATCTGATCCATACCAGGGGCGTCGGAAGGTATTTTAGTGAACCATTTGGAAAGAACGTTCAGAGTCATTTCGAGTAATTATTTCTTTTTAACTAGGAGGTACACACTGTTATAACAGGCAGCACCTAGTGCAGACGCATGTGAACAGAGTGCCCAGTACACTCATACACTGTACAGTAAACCATCTGACTAAGGACCATCCTTGGGTCGGAGAAAGCGGTCTTTAGTGGCAGGTGGTCGGTAGTAAGAGGTTTGCACTGCACAACCATAATACCATAATACTATATGAATGTGATACCGTCCGTGCGTGGTGAAGTGGTCTGTAGTACCAGGTTGGTCACTAGTCACAGTGGTCTTTACTTACAAGTTTTACTGTACTAACAAGAGAATCTCCAGGTAGATTTGAAAATACTAGTACTCTTTGTTCTAACGTATAATCATGTGCAGGGTGCCGTCAAATATTCACGACTCCCTGATGCACAGTAGCCGTACTTGAACGTGCCCGTCTCTGAACTTATTGCCAGAGTTGTGCCAGGTACACGTGTACCCGGTTGGTTTGAAATCCAAATGCAGACACCGTGTACTTGAATTCAGTATGTATGTACAGTAGGTATCGGTTATAGCGGGGGTGTTTGAAAAACGACATTTGATTCTTATTGCCGATATTTCTTACACACGATAAATCACGTGTGACATACAGGTATCATAATTATAATTATGCACGCACGTTTGGCATGTGGACACGTACAATCATGTAGGTCTACACATGATACACACGGATCAGACTCACGGTCGTGCTAGGCGACTGCGGAGCAGCAGATACGAGAGAAGTCGGAAGAAAGAGTCCGACTGGACAGAAAAAGTGATTCTCCGATGCTCAGTTTGACATACATGTAACTCTCTTTTTGTGTTGAATATTATTGTATTGAGTATGCACAGAGCACAGATGTTATTACTACAGGCGATACACTTTGCACTAATCTGGCATATTTTGCTACACAAAATCCATTCTTAGGGCCGATATATTCTACTATGCGATAATACTGCTTGTAAGAATAAATATACACATAAAATATGTGTTATGATTATGAAAAAATGAGTGTTCATTCTTGTAGGCAGTATATTCTTGTATACGACCTCACTATAACCGATACGCACTGTACGTGTTGATCTGCATTGCTCTTGTCCATCAATATTACATAATATGTTAATCATGTAAACCTCTGGTTAGAATCATTTACAGTAAGAACCACAAAATTGTCCTAAATCATATCCAACAATCACGTACGTTGACAACCAACATTGTTGCGATTTGACCCTTTTTTAGGGTCACTTTTCAAAGTGGACGAAACAAAGTCGGCCGATCGAAGCAGTAAAATAATTATCCTTTCCACTTCACCGTCATGACACTGGAATACATGTAGGTACGAAACGAAACAACTACAAATCCACAAGGAAACTGTACACCCACCGCAGCGCTGACTTCGGTCCGAAATTTTAAATTAATCAATTACATTCAAATTTACGAGGAGCACGCAAAAATCAGCTACCGACGTACCGCAGAGCAGCATCCATTCCAGCAAAAAATCCCTAAATGCAAGTGAGACTGCATGCCAAAGTACTTGCGTACACGCAGTAAAATAATCAATTTCAGCCTTTCTGTCCCATACAGCGACTAACTTTGACAAGCTACGGAAAATACATCAAAGAATCAAACAACGTATATTTTCTTCAACTGTTTTCCAGCAGAAGACCTCTCATTGCGCTTGGCCCAGGCGAAAAATCACAACTCGGTGGAGAACTAAAATTACAACTCCCCGATTTCCTCAATAGCTGGCCAGGACATATTTTTCTGCCGAATGAGTCTGTTGCTTGAGGGTTTGTGGATACGAAACAAGCTCTTATTTATTTTTTTCTTAGTTATTTACTTACGCGTTTCAAGCTTCAAGGGATTTTTGATCGTTGTCTACTAATGAGGTTTGTCTTGTAACTGATGTCATACTATCGAGGGTAGACCTGTATTGCTTTGCAAAGGCTTCAGACTTGATGAAATAATGGAGAAAATGGATTTTTTTCTTGCGGCTTATGTTCTTTGTTTGTGTCCAGTCTTCATACAAGGATAGAAGGTGTGATGTCATCTTCATACAAAGATATAAAGTGTGATGTCATCTTCATAAAAGGAAAGAAGGTTTGATGTCATCTTCATGCACTCTATGCCCGAGTCTGGTCCTTCGGGATATGTGCAGATGTGTACCTGGTGCGGGAAGAACCTATGGTGAGTGACTTGTCAACTGGTAGAGTTGTAACACAAGATAATTAATCAAAAATTGTGTTTACCCGAGTGAAGTTCACGTCTGAAAAATGCGCTCCGTTAGGCCGTGGTCACACCGAGCAAAATTTCCACCATTCACCCCACTCAGATCGGAATTTGTTCGCGGTTTCCATGGAAATCGCGGAACGGCAGACACTTCCCGCTGGCGGAATTCAGCCAGCAAATGGTGGGCTGAATTCCGCCAGGACGCTTTTTTTCTTGAGTTATTGCATTGTTTGAGGGTGGGATTATCAGTAGGAATTTCGTTGCCGTCTCTGATATTTGGTTTTGACCAAGCCAAGCAGGCGAGCAGAGCAGGATAGACTATTTGTTTGCTTGATTATTTCCTTCAGCCTTCCGTTCAATCTGTGTTTTTCGATCAAGTTTGCAGGAGCCCGTACGCTTGCTTGGTCATTTCCTTCAGCCTTCCGTTCAATCCTGAGCATGGACTCGGTGACCAAAGCGAAGGCAATTGCCAAACGTTGTTTGCGTATCAAATTCATCGCAGCAAACAAGTCAAACAACCAGAAAATAACCTGACGGAGAGTTGTGCATGCTTGCAAAATATGAGAGGTTGTGCATGGCCAACGAAGGAAATCACTGGTAGCTAGTTTATCTTTCCGGCCCAAAACCAATCCACCAGTCAGCGCATGTTGGTGTGACCGTGCAGGGAGCATGGAGATCGCCACTTCAGTCAGCGATTCAGCTGTCCACGTTTCAGCCCGTTTTGGTGTGACCGCGGCCTTGTTCTGTGCTGTAGCATTCCGGCTGTTTCACTGCCATTATCAATCTAGTTAACCCTCTAGGATCCACAACTATTTCAAGGACTGCACTGCATACACGAGCCCAGTTACTTATCTGGTCGTAACTTTGGTGTCCTTTGGCCGATTTTCGTGACCTTGTGCTATCTGGAAAGCTCTTGGCAAGAGGGACACAGCGATAGCCAGCAACCCATCATTGAATCCACAGAACCAGTGCCACAGCGCGATTCGGCGCTCCAAAGGCAGCATTGCGAGCGCCCAACTCAAATTCTTTGCAATTTCACCAAAAGGTATCGCAGATCGCTCATATAATTATGTTTTACATGTGAGCTGAGAAACATGCCTTTGCGATGACGTGAACTATCTGTGGCCGCGAGTCTGGGAAAACCTCCAAAAACGAGATCTAAATGCACGCACCCGAGTTGACTCTGCTCAGCGAATTTAGTTCGAGTCTCATAACTCCGCTCTCCGACCTCGTATCGCCTTCGGGTTTTTTCGAGCCGATAGATAAGACAATTCGAATATCGATACACCTTTCGATTGTCCGATTTGGTTACGGGAGGGCCGAGTTCCGCCAGTTAGCACTTTGAACAGCATGTACTGTACACTGGTACGGATATATCCGTACAACGGGCGTCAAAGGGTTAACATGTGTCGCATGCTGGATTTGTAGCTCGCACACTTCAGACGGAGCCCCACGATATTGTGTGCAATAATACCGAATCTGCATCCTCCTGTGGAAAGGAGAAAGGTATCTTCGTGGATGTATTTCTTCCTGCCTACATCCGGGAACTAACGTGGCTGCTAGCACAGCAAGGGAGCTCCTTGTCTTCGCAGGATAGTGGTGGTACGGATGGTATCATCCGGACGACTTCGAATATATCTGTGGTTCACGTCCTTCCTCTCTGAGTCATCTTATCGCAATGAACTCTATCCGACATGAATGGGTCGACCGAGTTCTGTTCGTGACTGTGACCAAGAGGCGGTGATTTTATACGAGTCGCTCTCATAGCAAGCTTGCGTGTGGTGTGGCACAGCGTATTCTTCCATCTTGTTGAGAGTTGGCGGGAGGATAGTCATGGTAGATCCTACAAAAACACATCAGATGTTTTCCTGCTTTCCCGAATCCATCTTTGCAGAATACACAATGTGTTGGCATTCTACAAACAAACTAAACAGAAACTGATGCCTCATCTAAGTTACGGCGACGTTTAGCGCAACAGAAAAGAAGAAGATGAAAAACGATTATAGTCTGGATTTGACACCGAATATCTTGCAGTCGGTGTTGAAAGTGGCATACTTTGTCAGTTGTTGACCTTAGCATGGTACAGAATTACAGTGTATACTATGGGTTAAAGCAAAAGTACATAACCCCACCCCAAAGTGTGCAACAGATGATCCAGCTCTGCATAGGGTCTTGGTCGAGTGTAGTCAGATCTCCTGATGTGATGCGTACACTTCACACTAGCGCAAGGCCGGTCTCGAGGCAGGGCACAGTTGTTTGTGATCCGAGAGTACCGGCGACTCCCCACGTTCCCCTCAGATGTGTACGGTATTATGACGCAAAGATCCGAGTACACTCGACCAAGACCCTACTCACAGCTAGATCAGGCGTTGCACACTCTGGGGGGGGGGGGGAAGGGGCGGGTATGTGCTCTTGGTGTATGGGGGGGGGGGGGGAGGATGTGTGTGGTTTGGAAGTCCGGTGAAACATAACAATTTCAGAGTCCATAGAGTTCGGGGTGCGGAGTCTAATGCTGTAGGTCCCAAATGTCTTCAACAAAGCATTCTACAGATACTTCGATTTGAGAACTAAGTTTCGAGGGGGGGGGCATGATGTCATGCGGCAGCGACACACCCTCTGCAACCTCATAGTGTGCACCTAGGTCAAATTAAATGCGCGAAAGCAATAGTGTCAATGCAATTTCAAAAGATTTGTAGACTGATAGTAGGTGGTGCAAGCGACGCCGAAAACAGACCTCCATGTGAGAGTGAGAATGCAGCCATGGCTGACCTGCGTGAGTTCGGTCTGGATCTGAGGACGTTGGGTACTCTGCTGAAGAAATGGCCGTGCTGGCTGGTCAAGAGTGAGAATAAAGCATGCAGACTGTGCTTATTGTGATGCTCAATGAAATCCGATCGCATGGCTAAAGTCTTCCCCTGCACCAGTTCACCTCACAGTGTTTGCAGGTCTAGGGCTGCACAGCGCCCTGCGTGGAATTCACTTTCAAAAACAGATTTCGTTGAGGAGCACTGTAGGTTGTATTGAGATCTGAATGGTAAAATTAATTTGAATACGGTTGGAAGTTAGCCATCCGTGACAGTGTGTATGAGATCTGAGTGGCAAACTAGTGTTTATGCCTCTGCTTTGCCACTGCATGCAAGGCACCACAATATTATGAATGGTTTGAAACAAATCTGTAACTCCAGAAAATAGTCGAGAAAGGGCTCGTTCTGCACAATGCAATGAATAATTGACAAGTTCCGAGCTACGTAAAGTGGAGTAACTTTACAAAATGGGAGGAAAAATTCGTGAATTCGAGAGCTTGCATTCGACTTACGTAAAGTTTGTATATGTAGAGTTTATATATGGGGCTCAATTAAAGGAGAAAATTACCGCAGTTGTGGCGAAAGAAATCCAAACCACGTGCCGAAAGCAGCGCCAGGGCACATGCGGCCACTGCGGATAAGTTTTATGAACGTGCATGATGTCATTGAAGTGGAAAGGCAGTGCTAACTTTGACTCGTGGGTCGGATTTCTTCGGCCACGACTGTAGAAACGTACGGAAGGAAAGTAGCAGCTACAACATTTGTAGGCTACCAGTAGTGTTCGCAAAGCCACCGTTTGAAACAACTCGTAGATCTACATGACCACATTTACCCCCTAAAACAAAACATTTGACCGTCGTTTCCGGAGTTGAGTAAAACTATTACCAGATTCTCGAATGCATGCTCGAGCTTTTGTTTACTACACTCATTCCAATTCCGTGATGGGTACCGACGGCATTCCATGCCCATTCTGGAATAACCGAACAAATGTAACCTCAGATATCCTTTCCTGAAATGGGAACAAAAGTTGAAGTTGGTTTTATTATTATTTTCCCATGGGGGGGGGGGGCGTTCATGAAGGGTAGGGTTGGATTGAGCCCGACTTAAACCTTTAGCATCATGTAAATGCTCCAGTCAACCTGTGGTTATGGAGGGTTGAAACTTACCCTGGAGAGAATTCTCCTGTATGCACAACCTAACACTTTACAGATCAACTTTAATGTGTACAGGGAATTGTGCACTCTGAAACTAGTATGCTGAAATGGATGAGCGGATCATATTCAAATCCAACTCCTCTATTCTATTGTATTGTATTATTTTACTTGGGCATATCCCAACAGATCAATGTGCTGGACTACCGCAGCAAACCAGTGAAGGTGTTTCCGAAGCCTCTGCGTCATGCATATCCAACCGCCATTTCAATCTCCTTGCTGATATGAAGCTCATATATTGGTGCCTCAGCTGTGTACGAAAGAATGGGACGTACAATGCTGCACCTGTCATGCACAAGATCCAAATACCGTAAAGTCACGGATAAAAGCCGGGTTTGCATACAAGCACATCGCGGATAGAAGCCTGAAAATCAAACGGGTCAAATGCATATAAGCCTGTCGCGCGTAGAAGCCTGGCTTCTATGCAAGCGCGGATCGGGTAGGTCAAGAGTGCATGTGCTATGTACAGTGCATAGTAAAACTGCCGCCATACCGGTAGTCGTACATCTACGCGTGTCGCGCGTAGAAGCCTGGCTTCTATGCAAGCCCGGATCGGCCGATGTGCATACAAGCCTGGCAAAAATATCAGTGGTGCATATAAGCATGGTTTGCATACAAGCCTGGTTTGCATTGAAGCCTGATGCAGACAGCGGCTTATGTGCTTATAAGCCCGGCTTTTATCCGCGACTTTACGGTAGTATGTACAACTGTTGTGTCATGATCTGGTTGCACAGTTTCAAGGGTTCTGTCCTTTGGATGCTATTAATTGAGCTCTCGAACAATGTTCATGACTGCTTATATAACTGTGTTTTGGGCTTTGTGCATACATATGGGTGTTGTGTACTTTGCAGAAGCGAACACGAGCATGATAGCAATATCGTGAAGTACAGGAGCAAGTAACTGCTTACGTGCATTTCCACACAAGAACAGGTTGGAGCAACATCAATTGGGGAGTGCAGTAACAGCGCACGTGTGAGCAGAGATGACAACTCCGGAGCAAAGGACGGACCAGTCCCCACACCAGTGGCTCGGACCACGCTAGATCGGATTAGATGGACTGCAGCTGGCGTTCTCACCCGGCATGGCGATACTGATATCACACGGTGATTTCAAGATGTGCATGATACCGTCAACTAGTAAACTGGAGAGTACACGTATGGATTTCCCTGGCAGGAGCTATGTGTGCATCACTTTAGCCCTGCTGTTGTCTGAACTCCTGTCGCAAATGGACAGCGAGCAACTGCGTCCTGCATAGCATCACTGGTGTTCAAGAGAAGGCACCCTCACTGCTTTATGTCTCACAAGATGCTCATTGACCATTGCCTTCTCAACATGAAAAGCGGTAAGACAAAAAGGTGCATTGCAGAATTCAATGGAGTGTATTTGGTCTGTCTCGAGGGAAAGATTCAGAGTAGCTGGGATTTGGATAGAGAGTAACAATTTCTGCAGGAATAGTACTCAGTGTGCTAGGCACAGTGCCGGGTAACACAGCACCAGGAGGTGCCGTTACAGACAGCCCCTGCTTCTCTGTGCTCATCTTCAGCTGCGTGAAGTTTGCAACAGGCATGAAACTCTGATCAGCAGCCTAATGACAAGTGGGCTTCGTCCGGCATGCGTACTTTATTATAGGGGTGAAAGGGGTGATCCGGGTACCCGGGTACCCGTCTGTTTAGCTGCTGGTCCGTTAGCAAACGAGCACCCGTTAGTCGTATACGACGGTATTGTACGGTATTATTAGCTGGTTTGTAGTCGTACAGTTCGCTGGACAATTTGATTGGGTTGTTGGTGGTTCGATCCTGCTACATATGACAATTTTGACTGTGTTGCATGTAGTGTAGTAAGTGTGCATGCTGTGCTTGTCGCGATGTAGTGTACTTGCTGTGAATTGCATGACTGCATATCCTCCTGGCATGAAATGTGGAAACCTATTGTATAGTAACTGTTACTATTGGCTGCTACAGGGTACCCGATAATCCGCCCAGGTACCCGTTTGTAACCTTAAAGGGTAACCGTCTCACCCCTATAATTTACCCAGGACGAATTGTTTGCGGCATACAACACACCATTACAAAACCCAGCTTCATTTTGCGGGTATCATCTCTGCTTGTTTATCACGTTTAACTACGACAGAGGGTTTTACGTCATCACATCACTAAATGTTTTCCTCACATTGTCAGTACATATGTGTATACATATGGGTCTGTGCCAGGTCAACAGAAACTTCATGTAATTATGTGCTCAAGTTGTAATCGTACTTCGGAAGTACATGACAATAGTGCTTGGCTCTGGCCCCACGCTTTGCCCATCTGCTTCCCTAGAGCAAGGGCATATTGCCACGATCATACTCCTATTTTTTAAAATTTTATATTTACAGTTGTGTGTGTGTGCGTCTGCAATTTGTATTATTTCATTACTACTTCATTCTCTTCTGCCAATATTTTCATCGTTGAGTGTTCCTGAGTGGAGAAAAAATGATGTACGCATGTCTGGGTAAGTATACTGAGTTGACGGCTACTGTGGTGCATTGTGCGAGAATACGATGTTAGTTGTGTGAGTGGGTTGTATGTGTTCAAAGGCCAATAATTACATGTTAATAGATTGGAAGCTATGGTGGACAGATTGTGAATAGTGCCAAGACCCTTGTAGTCCTCAGACCGCTCTACATTGTGGCCGCTTGGCTCTAGTTGTGTGCTGATTGTATTGCAGCTGGTGCAGTTGTGGGCAGTGGCACCACTGGTCACTTCTGTGATGTCTGCCTTTCCTGCATTTTCCTGTACAGTTGATGTGTGCGCTGGCGGCGGTGCCACTACGGTATGCTGTTGTGATGCCTGTCTTGCACTGTCCCTTGTAAGGAGTGTGCAGTTGATGTGAGTGCCGGTACTGCCACTACAGTCAGACTTCGCTTATCCGCACACATCCATTTTCTACAAAAAATACGGATAGTCGAGGGAACCGGATAATCGAACACACGTACTGTATGTATGCATGACGTATGCTGTAAATCGGCTACCCAGCGATTTTCTTCCGGGTGTCGAGGGATCCGGATAAACGAGGTCTGACTGTACTACACTACGATGCCTGTCTTGCATTGTCCTGTAGGGAGTGCAGTTGATGCGAGTGCTACTAGTGCCACTACTGCATTGGACTGCTGTGATGCCTGTCTTGCATTGTCCTGTAGGGAGTGCAGTTGATGTGAGTGCTACTAGTGCCACTACTGCATTGGACTGCTGTGATGCCTGTCTTGCATTGTCCTGTAGGGAGTGCAGTTGATGTGAGTGCTACTAGTGCCACTACTGCATTGGACTGCTGTGATGCCTGTCTGTATTATTATTCTTGCATTGTGCATTGCACTGCAAAATGCCATAACTGTGGATGTCCGAGGTTCACCCCTATGCTGTCCCTCCAGGAAATCGCGATTCCACGGATGCAACAAATTTCGCGACTTTGGCCCAAACCCGCGATTTTCAGCAAAATCCGCGTTTTTTGTTGTTTTCTGCACTATATGTCACATTTTGATGCACTTTTCACGCAGTTCTTTCCATGATCCTGTAGGTTATTTGCACAGTACGACTCCCGAGTAGATATACGATGCAACAAATTTCGTGATATTCTGCAAATAATTCCGCGAATTCCTGGCAAGTTCTATATCATTCCGCACTTTTCGTCGCATTTTTTGTTACTTTCTGCCGCAATTTCTTGCGCAAGTTTTCGAGAGTTTTTTCCGCAAATTCCCGCAGGGACAGCCTATGCCGTATCACACCACTTTGCTGCTGTTCTGTCACCCCTATGCCGTACCACACCACTTTGCTGCTGTTCTGAGTTTCTTGGGTTCAGTGAGCGGCGTGTATGACAGCTGCTACTGTGTCCAAAATCCGCTTTGGCTCTGGCCGGACCACTTTTTTATTTATTTTTAGCGCAATGCCAAAAGTGCCCAGAATGCAGAATTTTGCACCCTAGTTTCCAAAAAAAAAACCGGGGAGACCCTCCCCCCACCCCCGACCATATGGCGGTGCTACTCACCTGGTCCAGTGGCTGGGCATGCCTCTGTTACGTTGCTGTAATTCTGCAAGATCAGCTAAGGCTAAATTGCCATAGTTCCTTTCCAGTACGTATAGCCCCCAGATTTGCCAGATCACTGTCGCTGTGAAGCCTTCAGGGCTGCGTGAGTGTTTACAGATGGATCACCAAACAAAATTCTGCACTCGACTTCTGATCACAAAGAATTTTGTAAGGGAAAGAAATTGCAATACAGCTGGGAGCCGGAGCAGCGTGCTGATGAACTGGTCCTGTTGCACAGCTGAAATCTGATACATGACATTATCACCAGGTACAAATTACAAAGCAGGTCAGTGACAGGCCTTAAGCAAAAGGTGAAGAATCTCTCCCTTCGCTTCACACATTGCAAGGTAGAGAGTACGTGTGAGTTCTCTGCTGATTGACTCATTGGTATGGTAAAGCTATTTGAGTAAAGTTCACCTAGGGATGGCCATCATTAGAGAATGAGCCAATAATTGCTTTCTCCTATTGAATATTTGAGGCACGTAATTCTTGCTGTGTTCTTGGTCTGCAAGAAAAAAGCAGCAACAGCACCAACAACAAAACCGAAAAAAACACATTTACGAACTGCACAGGAAAGCGCTAAAACACTTGCTACATTCTAGACATGCATTTCACCTGGCTATCAACACTAGAGGAATGAATTTGTTCTGGGCTAACAGCGATGATAGTGACCATGGTTGATATGCCAAAATAGCGCTAACTACATTCTGGAGAGTCGCACAGGCAGTCAGAGCTCGTAGTGTTCTATGGCCTTTGTCGGAGGAAGTCGAATAAGGTTGAGATAAAGTGTCCACGCTTCTCTCTGTGATCCAACGACATATTCAAATGCCCATGTTGATAAAAAAAATTGATACCAAATACTATACTATGCATACGCAGTGCATGCAAACACATGCATTTAGCATGCAGCACTGTACGAATAATAAAATCCGAATGAAAGGTTGAAATTTGGGTTTTTCCAAAACAATTTCCGTCCGAAAATTCCTGCTATACAGTATTATAGGCTACACTAGCACCATTGATTAGACAAGTGTTAAACTAGCCAGAAGGAGTTCATTGGTCACCAGGTATGTATACTGCAGAAACTAAGTACCGTAGAATCCCGCGGATAATCCCATGGGCTTTTCTGTTTCACAAGGATATTTCCGTGGGCTTATACAAGAACATGGGCTTTTACGCAGGCATGGGTTTATACACTGCCA